TGTTCCCTTTCTAAAAGATAAATGCCTGTAAACTAGACGGGCACAGGCCAAGTTTATCAGGGAGTAATTTTCGTTCCTCACTGTTTAGCTGACAGGACGCTTCTAAGGACGGGTAGAACGAAAGACGGGAACATTTTTCACACATTCCAAGGCTTCGGAATTTGGGATTCACAAAGCTTCTTGGTCTGCCAGGGGACTTGCTCTAGCCTGGCTATGGATAATGCTTCGGGTTGCTTTTCAGAGGCGACCATGAAGAATCTGTTTTCAAGTCGCGTTCCCAACAAAAAAATCCAGCATTTGGATCTGCTTACCTAGGTTTTACTGCCGAAAATTCTCATATTTTAGTGAAGACCTTTATGATCGCCCTTGAAGGACGTGGATATCCGAAACTGGACTTTCCAAACAGCCTTGGGAAGCCGTCGATGGTGGAAAATTCGGTTTCTGGGTCCACTACATTGTCAGTAGACAAGCAGGGCGTGTGCGTTTTCCGTGGATTTGAAAGGTTCGATGAAGGGCTGCAGCGGGCAATCGCACTTTCGCTGACCACGCCGGTATTCCGGAAAGAGAGGTAGGCGCCAGTTAATGATGGCGATTTGGTCTTCTTGGATTCAAAACTGGTCAGTTGGTGAGCACTACACTGTTAAGAAATTTTCGTTGATCCAGAAATCGGCACTGTGATCGAAAAACCTCTGGTCGGCGCACATCTGAAGTAGACGATTTCCGTTGTCCAGACATCTATCTCGCGGCCCAAAAAGACCCGCAATTAAGGCCCTTAGCAGCGTTTAGTATGCCCACATGTACCTCACGGTATGCTACTCTCTAGTTGGGTAGTATATTATAACAGAAGGTAATGTTGTTTTTATACGTGGGCAATTTAGATGCGGATGACAATCGCGCTTTTTCGGAGGGGCTCCTCTTCAGAAATACCCAGACATCTCGTACCCGGCCCAAAAAGACCCGCAATTAAGGCCCTTAGCAGCGTTTAGTATGCCCACATGTACCTCACGGTATGCTACCCACTAGTTGGGTAGCATATTATAACAGAAGGCAATGTTGTTTTTATACGTGGGCAATTTAGATGCGGATGACAATCGCGCTTTTTCGGAGGGGCTCCTCTTCAGAAATACCCTTCTACCAAACTAAACAATTTTGTCGGATCGCCAGAGTATTCTGTTAAATTTTAGGACCATAGAGAAACCGGCTATCAGTTTGAACCCCGTAAAATATATTTTAGACAGGTTTTGGTTGAAAATCCATTTGACGTGAGACAGAGGCAGAACCTGGTCAGTGGTAAATGATAGCCATTTTAATTGTCCATCATTCTCCCAATCAGATCTGCTACACACAAGCGACCGGGTTGGATGCTCACCCGGCTTACACCGAGTAAGGAGTCTTTATTTTGATGGGATTCAAAATATTCCATCGATTTCCCTCCAGGATTGTTGGTGGCATGTACAAAAGATTCTATTCACATCCAACGCACACCTGTGGGGGTGCCGGCCAATACCGATGGAAATCAAATGACTAGGGGTACAACATCTGCCGGTCTCAAATCGTCCGCAATTTTTACACCTCGTTGATGGGTTAAAACGTTAGCCAAGACGTTTCGAGTTCCGATCTCCATGGTACTGCGTGAGACGCAAATGGCGCTCAGTATTCGCACAATGGAATTGAATCTCCGAAAGATATGGCGCGTCCCTGATGGACTAAAACAGGCAGAGGGTTGAGTTGTGAATATTAGTCCAAACTTTTGAGCCCAGTTAGGAATTGCAGAGCCCCAGTAATGCCAGGAAAGTGTTCCACCAGGGGTATGACTGCTTCAGTGGAAAGTGAAATTTGGTGAGCTGCAAAACTATCAAAATAGGTCTGGGTGGTTTTGGTTTGAGCAAATATGTAACAAAATGCAATATTTTGGCATGAAAGTTTTATTCCATTCGCAAAGGTTTTGCAGCTGAGATCATTGTGCGGCTAAGGGTTCCCGGTGCTCACTGATAATGAATATAAACAGAGTTGAAACAGCTGTGTAGTGCATCCCCGTACAGATCGACTTCAATCACGAGGCAAAAGGGTGGTTGAAAATCTCCAACCCACTGACTTTAGGAACACACAGTAGGGCGTTCGCGTTGCACGAACAGACGATCTTGTACGCTTCCGGACTAGTGGTATGTGGAACTAAAACACAGAGCTTTGTGATTGGGCGAGAACTATCAAGTTACAGAGTGCGCCCACGCAAGGCCCTGGAGAATCGACGGCGGTGTGTAGCTCCAGTGACCAATGACGGATTTACCATAAAGGAGGATGGTGGAAAACGGAAAGCCCGTTGCTGCGGAATTGTCTATTAGAAAAACCAACTAAACAGTTACGGGCTATCAGACAGGAAAGTAAAACTCTCTTATGCACTTTGTTTTCAAAAACTGAATATCCGTCTTTTTCTTGAACGCGTCTTCTGGAACTTTCCTGGATATTCGTTGACTTTCACGCAATTGTAAACGAATGCTGCAAGGCGGTTTAACAAATTTCGTAATAAATTTCAGCTTCCATTAGGACAAGACGGAGTTATGAGAAAATATTTCTCGCATGCCTCACCAGTAGCATCCACCGTTACACTGGTAGCTGGTGGTGCGTAAATAATGATTGGATTGTTAGCTGAGCCAGGCGACTCAGTCGCTCGCCTTTCAGTCTCACTGGGATTTGTCTGCAGGCCGAATTAAAACAGACCCGTCCAGGCGGTCTGCAGACACATGAAAAGCATATTGCTGACACTCAGCCACATTGGTTCATTGAATAGGCCAGATTGGACTCGTCTGATCGTAAACGCTGCTCAAACTACTCATGGGGAATATCTTGTCTGTGAATATACATTAACAAACGAATTACATGAGACACTTCTGCCCGGCTACCCATTTACGGCAAGGCTTGTGTTCACAAGTCCTACTCAATTAGTCAACAGGTAGGCCGATGCTCGGTATATAACACGTGAAAAATTTTTGTAACCTGATGTAACGGTCGAACGGTATCTTCGAGTGACGCGTAATACCAGAACCTCCGGGTAGGCAAAACAAAGTCGGAGCTGGGTTTCTATACGGTACTATTAGGGTAAGAGAAATTCACAACTTATACAAACCTCGACAGTAGATACGCGTCCAAAGCAAACAGTCAGCATGGACTACAAAAGTACAAAGCAAGGGAGCAAACAGGCTCCCACGTGCAAAGTCAGATACAAATGGCCGGATGACCTCAAGGCCAAATGGGTGAAGTGGTAAGGACAAACAAACGTCAGTTCATATATACACACTAAACACAGAAGTGGGGCGGGGGTTACAAAGGGGACAGAATAAACGTGGGGAACTTAATTGTCAACATAACAGATGATACACCTGAGTAGTACAAGAGCCCCGTCTACAGCCAGCTAAAAAAACGGAAAAAAAGAAAACTAGCCGGTCATCGACTGGAATCAATTTATCATATACCTTGACCAGCTCCATACAGTAGCGTCCACTGACATGATTCAACACCTCACCCTGTCACATATTGCGATCGAATGGACCGTTGTCCGTCGCCTAAAACTTGGTCGAGGCCGGATATTGTGCCCAAGAGTCAATTGATCTAGTGATCAAATGGTCCATTGGCTGCTTGTCAAAAGTACCAAGTAGTCGGATGTTTAGCAGCACGTTTCAAATAGATATCAGTTAACATTTACTTCATTCGTTTCATGGTGGACTTCCAAAAGTTTGCATCACTAATTTGAGCACTTAGCTTGAAATGTCAATAAAGTTTAAGCTGGAGGAAAATCAAGTTATTCAACAAGTTAAAAATTGAAATTGTGCAACCAGTTACGTGTAAGTGTTCATAAAAATACGCGAAATCATGCACCGATATTATGTGATATTGCGATCTAGTGGCAAAAAAGTCTTCATAGCCTGGATTGTGGTCCGCGTTCAAAAGCTGTGCGCACAGATGCAAACCTTGGCCTTACGTACAGCAAACTACCTTGAACCCTACGGAGCGCCAAAAAATGTTCACATCATTGAAGTTTTACGCCCATTCCCAACATGTTTCATAACCTTATAGAATACTCAGATCAAAGTTTGACGCATTCAGGTTTTCCGGATCTCCGATGATGGAGTTGCTTTGTTCGCTGATTTACTAAGTGATAAACCTGTCATTTTAGGTTAGTAAACTTTGGGTGCAACCACACGTAACCAAAAACGTACATTAAATATATTACCTCACCCGGTGATAAACGTTCAGCGAACATGCCAAACATCATCTACATGAAGATCGCCCAGCTGTAGCACCATTTCGGTGCCTAACTCCCCTTCCACCAGAAGGAAACACGAAGGCTGGGCTACGACCAGGTTGCCCAAGCCTAGACAGGGGAAGTCGAGTTGCAGAGGTCGGATTCGAACCACAGACCTTCCGGTCAGTATATTCGCGCTCTTATTGTTGATCCATCTCGCCCGTCGTCTACATAACATGGAATACCGATACTTCGATAAACAAAAAGACAATGTGGAATGGTTAAATTTTTTCGTACTGGCCAGAGTATACTGTTTTAACGCATCCGAGATAAGTAAGATAACTTGCCGAGTGGCGTTCCCCATCAAAAAGAAGATGGCTGGGGTATCGACTTCATTAGAAACTAATGGCTATCAACAGGTTGTCTCTATGTAAAGCACGAAGTCCAAAATGGCTGTAGTCACTCCTCCAGTGGTATGGCTGAACTGAAGCAACCGAAGATTACTTAAATTCTTAGTCCTGCGGAAGCCACCCCTTCTCACAGTGACAAGTATGCCCTGGTCTGATTCGGTTATTGTGAGTACTATGGAATGGTCCCAAAAAGATCTTTACCGACTCCACACCAAATATCGCCAATTTCAGGACACTCGGCCTCTATGCGCTTAAATTGGACACACTGGGCACTGTAAAAGCCAAAGGTTACCGTGGTACCAATCGGATACTACCTCTAACCAAACTAGTCTGAAAAAAGTAGGTTTTAATTACAACATATTTCTTACAGAACTAGTGAGCAACGAACAAGGTCTAAGGAATAAGAATAAAAATAAGGCCGGAGAAAAAAGCGCACCGTTTGGGTGCTGTGGTCACGGGTACAAAACTGTCCAGAAGCAGTACAAAGAACGAAGCACCACGCAACTGTTACATTAGTGCCTCAGGCGCCGGTATATAAACAGTGCGGAACAAATCGCAACAAGCCCAACAAACCAGATGGAGGGCGGAGGAAGGGATGAATTAGTCCAGTCGGTTGGAATCCATGAGTTAGCATCGATGCCAGCACGCGCTAACAAACTGCCTTCACTGGATTGTGGGTCATCTGATAAGGAGTCTATATTCCTTCCACAGGTCAGGTATTGCACGATGCGCTAGGAGGATGAACGAGTGAAAACAAGGCAAACAGACATGTGATGCACCAATGTAGATGACGTGTTATCCATACAGAGTCAGATGAAAAAGATTGATAGTTACGGGGCCAGGAGTCATTCACCACTCGGCTTTTGACTCATATGAATAAACAACTAAATAGAGGGTCTCCATCATTTCCAACAGTATTCGTTTGGTGAAAGAAGTAATGAACCGCGAATACCGTTGCGATGCTGCTCCACCATACCTCGGGTGCACGGCAAACTCAGCTCTGTGCAGCCAACTGCTGTTCATTCAGTATCGTGAACATGTTAAGGGTATAGTTAGCAGAACACGGTGTGTGTCCGAAAGACCGCGGGTCGAAATGAAATTTTCTGTAAGCCAGTGAGAATAATGGACGAGGAAAACCCTTTGTGTACTTATAGAGAATGGTCCTCAAAAGGAAGAAGGGCTGACAGAACATCCACATCCACTAAGGTCAGAGAGAGAGATGTAGCACATTTCATGTTCAGCTGGTAAGGTCAATAAATATTAGACAAACGTACAAAAGTTTCAGGAAACTCCCACTTAAATAACCTTTTCGAAGCGATTTTCCGGCAGTCAAGCAAACTATTCAGGAGAATGCTGATGAATAAGATTGTACGCTGCAAACCTACACACTGACGCAGCGCTACGTACTTCTCTTGACGAAACTTTGGCAAGTAAACAGCCTAGCTAGGTGAACAGAACAAAAGCCATTCACATGAAACACAGCTACCAACGAAGTCATCCTAGAAAATGGGTTCTGAATAGCTCCATCGCTGGCGAAAGACATGATTTCGATATTTCGGATATCTGGAACCCACAGTAGCCGTTATCCTCTTCTTCCCGGTTGAATCAGATCGCGACAACGGTATACAGTACACAATAGCGGCAAATTGAAGGACCGTGAATTAATGGATTTTGCAAATAATTCCTATCGACTCACTATTACTAACTGATCTGCCCACAAACCAAAGCGAGACTTACTTCCAGGTCATACATATGGCACAGGTTAACATGTTTTTGAACGAACGTGTTGGAAAAACTAGGCAATTAGACCACACATCACTTTACGTGCAACACACTCATCTAATCGACTGAAGGCTGGAACCTTCTACTACTTTCTACTTAATAGACCAAAAAGGAATTGTTAGTTCATGCGATCTTGACAGAATCTAAAACCGGTGGTAAGACAGTCACAGTGGACTTGTCTAGTTGGTTTCTTCCACTCCGTCACCATACACGGATGAGTGGACTATTGTACCTATACACTGAGGGCTTGCTCTGCTGATGCCACAATATTTGCCTGGACAGTTGCAGACGGGATGCGATAAACCCTCACCTAACTACCACCAATGGATGTCAGTAACTTGACTACGTGTTGTGGGTAATGGGTCTGTATAAGGCATCTTTGCTTTGTACTCGCATAATGGGGTGTCACTTAGTAAGATGCGCGAGAACAGTCGCTTAAAGTATGGCATTCTCTATTGAGGTTATCAATAGTCCGTAATCGTTCACCTGAAACAACGTCCTTCTTTCAGGAAGTCATTACATGTTCGGAGGTTGCTAATTGGGGATGGCTACTGCTCCCGTAATTTCAGTGAATGCTAGGTCCTCCGCTAAACCAGTTAGCCTTTGCACAGGCTCGTCCCTGCTGCACAGCAGGCGCCGCTGTTGCGTACGCTGATTAGTTGCCCTATCAAAAACTGACGTCTGTCATATCCGCGTGGCTCTTAATTGCTGATACAAGGTCCATTCCTACATACTTAAGTTCTGTCGACGGAAGAAAGCAATAAAACAGTCTACGTGCATCTCCTTGTTCGGAAAACCCTACCTATTTAACTGAAGTGAAGTAACAAGTGGTTGGGATGTTTAATTTGTCCGTTATAACGAGCCTTCCGTACGATAACATTGGTTTCAATAAACACCAGGCTCAAATTTTCAAAGGCAAAAGCAGATATTTACCATGGAATACAAACGCTTCTGCAATAGTAGAGTGCATCACAGAGACACCTTAACACACAGATGAGATCTGATTTTGCTTCAGGCAAAAACAGAAAACCTGGAGTATTGGGATGACATACAAGTGTGATAACAAGATAAACAAGTGAAACGGGAATTTACCCATCCACCTTGAGCAGCAATCCAAGCGAAAACGTTCATTTGACGGCAAAAACTGATCAAGCATCTGCACACTTGAAAGAACGCGCTGACCAGCCCGCGACGTACTCGACGCATAACCAGTCGATATCCAAAGCAGAATAAGGCTACCACTTGACCCCAATTGGTCGGGCCACGCGAGAAAAGACTGAATGAACGAGGGCACGGCAAGTTAGAGGATGAGAATAAATAAAATGGTTAGGCTTATCGGGATCTTATCGCATCCTTACCACAACTTTCAAGTAAATAGAAGGTCATCGACCAGGACCGAAGACTAGTCATATGGAATAGTACAGCTGTTCATCAGCAATGACATTGTCCGACTAAGCCAACAGCTGATAGAATCAAAATTTACATCTAACTATTGGCTTACGCATTTGTTTAGGATTCAAAGCGTCGGGAAAACTGGCCAGCAACAGTAAAACATAGGGTGTAGAATTTACCCACTCAGGAAAGATGAACACACAGTCTGAGATCCGAAATAGACTACCTCAGGTACCATATAACATTAACATCCTGTTACCTGTTTATCAGCCAAAGAAAGAAACAGGGCAAGCAGGTGCTGGCTAGTGTAAACTTAGAACATTCACCTCTCGGCATTTACGTATTACCGCAACGCTGTGCGACTTAGCACCAACTGAGCTTAACAGGCTTACTTCCGGTTATGAAAGTATCCAACTCTATTACGTTTCTTCCTCCTTACAAGATGCGCAAGCGTCTTTCGATACTCAGAAGTACATGTCGTTTTTGTGACGTCACGAACATTCTACGAAACATTTTGCTGTGAAAACTAAAATCGAAATCGGGTATTCCGATTGTAACATGTTTTCGTTAGGTAATTGTAATTAAACGCGTAAGAAGCCTAAAGATAAAAGTACTGTCGTGTTTTTCAATCCAAATCATTATCAATTAGAAAGCCAGTGATGCAGTCGAACTAGGCCTATAGGTGATTGGGTCCTACGAGTAATAAATTTAAAGTATCTTCCATACCGGTGTCTGCAGTGAATACCCTCCTTACAGTGACTGCTCAAGGTTGGTTGCTGAAGTCTCGGTTCGATCCTTACTTCGGGTAAGCTATCTCAGAAGAGCCCCTGTATTCATCGGGGCATCTTATGGATAGTGGTGAGCGTCTTTCAGGGCGAATATTGTTGTAAACGGCAAGACATATTTGCTCTTGACAACGTAGATACCAACGCCATGCAGAACTACTTTCTATCAATAGACAGCATAGAGTAGTCCCCTCATAAGAATATGAACCGAAAGATACCTCTTCTTTGCTCTTAGAAACAGCCACTGAAAGAACCGTCCCCAAAGTCTTCTACACTGACCAACACTTTCGTCACTATAAGTGGCACCTTCCACCTAGGTGGGAACACTCGCTTGAGGCGTCCTGGTGCGGAAACAACATGATGCACCTATATGGTAGTTGGCAACTTCTATTATCTGAGTCGATTGCTGTGCTACCTGAAAGACTCAAACAAGAACCGCAAAAAGGAACAATTCGAGATGTGAGACAATCTACACTGGATTAGGGTTTCAAAGATGAGGTGTTGTAGGTGAATCAGATGTGAAACGATACGGTAAGAGTCACTCATTGGATGCTTAGATTTCCTAGACGAACTGGGAGCATCTAGACCTGACTGAATCAACCTCAGCAACATCTCTGACAGCCAGCTTCCAGGGAGCCGAGTTCCAGTGTGGACTGATCAGAACGTATCTTCATAAATAATCCCATTTAATTACAAACTACCAAGACAGGTAACAACCTAAGCCCCGATTCCAAAAGCACAATGTCGTGCAAAAGAGTTGATCGACCGATGCAATCAGGATAGTTACTGGGTCGTATCGAATATACATCCATATTGTCTAAACTGCGAACATAGTCGCCCTTGGATACGTCATAATTCTGGTTCGGCACCTTTTAGGCCGACAGCTGTCACGCGTTCAAAGGGAACTATAGCTGAGAAGTCAACAAGTTTATGGGCTGGAACAGGAGCAACCATAAAATTAAAGACGGGTTTGAAATATGGACTACTAAACCAGGAATTTAAATCACGAACCCCGATCTACCGGGAGATCTGTTCAAACCTGTACGTCAAGTCACTTTATTAATGACAACTGCTCCTTGCATTGATCGGTTCACCTTCGGCAAATCGTAGCACGCGGCGGTTTCAACTACAAAGTCGACTTCAACCAACAGGCCTAGCTGATTGGGCAATCGGAGAGTGAATTCCAGTTCAACTGTACTCAGTAAAAAGCCTTGATGAATACGTGAGCGATAAATGCTAAAATTTCTGTTGCCATTGGTTGTAAAACGGTGTTATTGCCCCAGGTTCTGCTTGGCGGTTCCGAGACAAAGCAGCTGGTAAAGGGAAGAATTCCACTGGGACTAAATAAACTCCTGAAACGTGTTAGGCAAATGCTTTCTAGGAAAACTGTCTAGTCATTAAAAAAAACATCAGTTGCCACAAATTTTGTCCTAA